AGCAATCAGCGGGCCTAAGGCCGCGTTGATAACTGACGGATTCCTCACTTTTGACCATTCTGAGGGACACGTATACTTTCACCACGACGATCCTTCGATCAGAATAAGATTGTTCGGGAGAGAAGCTCGAGAAATTGCTGCCCATTACATAGTAGAACACACAGGAACAAACCCTACTAACCCCGGCAGGGTTACCCTGGCCGGAACGGCAGAATACGTGATCCCGGAGATCATCCAGACCATAGTACGTGACAATTGGTTGGTACCAGTACAACAAATGCAACTGGGCCTTCGGCCCATAAGGATTTTCGCAATAGTTCGGGAGATAATCAGCTTCTTCATATCGGAAGATCACTGTATTGGTTACCCGGGGCGAATCATTCGTCCCGAAATGGTACGCACGGGAGAAATTGATTCGAAAAGACGGGCCGACGAGTTTGCTTTGGACTGCCGCATCCGCGCGGCTGTTAAAACGGACGATATAATAGAGAGGTGGGCCCACAATATGGGCAGGAAAGTACAGAATGATGTCCGTTGCCACGGTGCTCTAATACAGGACGCCATTTCTTGGCTCCAGGATAAATATCCTGACCCTGGTGCTGGACTCAAGGACAAAGATTATGGACCTTTCCGTACTGCATGCGGAAAATACGGCGTCGCCGCAGCAATTGCTGCCAGGGGCATAATACAATTCATGAACGATCGTAGGAATAACGATCCTGAACACGACGGCGAAGCCGAGATCGCGGGGCCACATGCGCCGGCTGGACCAAAGGCCAGACCTCTATCGCTCTCTCCGCCTCTTCGACCTGGCATCTCAGACGCTCGGGTACCCGAAGAAGCCACCGAGACCCCGCTTTCAGTCGCAGGCTCAGCCGTGACGACCAGGGAGACAAACCCACAACATCCCAACATGAGGGATCGGTCGGACTCACGACGCGCGCGCGATGGGGCCATGGATGTTGCCGCTGGCACTGCCATGGATGCTGCCGCCGGCGCGGCCATTGATGCTGCCGCAGGTGCAGCCGCGGATGCTGCCAGCAGTGCTGCAAGCAACAGCTACGAGTACGACCCGTCCAGGTCCTACCCGCGCTACGTGAACGGAACCCTCGCTGGGTACTACGTCCATCGGAACAGGATCACGTGGCTTACCGACGCCGAGTGGTACACTCTGACTTACTGGCACCAGCTATCAACTTGGGGGCACGGCATCCGCTTCCCGCAAAGAGGGGCAGCACCGATGAGCGACACTGAAAGGGAAAGAGGGCGGTCTCGCACGCCTCGTGGCGTGGAAGTGCAGACGGGGGGATCGGCGTCGTCAAATCCGCCGCCTCCGGCGCCGCCCAGACAAGAGGACGAGCACAACCCGTGGCAGGACCTGAACTGAGTTTCGCCCGCGTGACTCAGTCGCGGCAGGCGCGCGCAAGACAATTTACCCACGCGCGGAACGCGTGTTGGATGCGGACACCTCTGCTGGTCGGCTAAGCCGGTCCAGCGGAGAGAATTTATTCATCACAATGGTGGGGAACGTCGAGCCTCTTCGGCCTTGGCCCCCTGGCAGCCACCGCTGAGCTGTAAAAGCTTTTTCGGGTTGGCTCCGGTGGTTGCGCACATGTACAGGCCGGGGGTGCTGTGGCTGGATGGGCTCTACGCGGCCCGCCGCGGGGGGAGTAAATGAGCTCCTCTCCGCCTCATATTAATTTAAGACATAACTTAGTTTGCATGCATCGCACTGTCCGCTGGAACTAACAGCTGCGCCCCGCAGCTGCATGATTGCTCGAACAAGCCAACCTTGGCTTGCAGGAGAGAAAAGGAGCGCGCCAGCCCTCGGCCGTCGTGCGTCGTCGGTCGTAGGCCAGCCGGCCTCCTCCCTTCACATTCCTGCGAGAGTAGTCTTGCTTAGCGGATACTTGTCTTATCAATGTCTCATCCCGTCCCCTCCTCTCCCTGAGCAGAGTGAACATGAGATCTTAATTCCTTTGTCATCTTACCCCGATTCTCAGAGGAAAGACTGATCTGCTTGCCCCTTCGTTGGCTGCCAGTGCTCGCCTGTAGCTGGCAAGCGCCCTGCCTGCGCTGTCCTGCATCGAGTCGCCTTCGACGTATGTGTACGTCAAAGAGGTGCGTTCTCCAGTGGGGGTGTCTGGATGACGCGATGGAGGATGATCCGTGCGGAACTCTTCGCCACGGCGGGGTGAGAGGGGCAAGCAGTGGGATACGTAGAGGAGCAGGGGACGAGAGAAGGCTCCATCAGAGGCTGCGTACGCTGGTGAGGCCTAGTCCCAGCGTTGCAGCTGGTGGCGTTGGGCGCCAGTCTTATTAACGGCTCGCCTCAGCATTGCCAATCCTAAGTTGGCCGTCGCACATTGGGCCCCCCTCGCGAGAGGAATGTCGAGCAGGAGAGGAAGACAAAGGACGACGAGGAGGAGAAGGAGGAGGATCAGAAAAAAAAGGATGCCTCTGCAGGCCCTCGTGGGGTCTCTTATGGGGCTTCCTGGGAGCTTTTTAGGGGCTTCAATGATGCCTCTTTGGGGCATCTTTGGGGCATCTGGGGGCCTCAAAGAAACCTCTTAGCCTTCGAAGGCCCTACTGGGGCCGTCTCGTGGCAGTCGTAGGTCCCTCCTTGGGCGCTGCAAGGCCGTCTAAGAGGTCTATGGGGCCGTTTGGGGGCCCTCTTGGAGGCCTCTTGGGCCGTCTTGTGGCCTGTTTGGGCTGTCTTGCGGGCCTCTTGGGGCCTTTTGGGGCGATCTTGGGGGCCCACGGGGCCGTTTTGGGGCGTCTGGAGCTTGGCCGCCTTGGGGGCGTCTTGGGCCGTCTTGGAGGCCATCTTGGGGCATCTGAGCCCTCTTAGATGTCATTTTGGCCGTCTTGGAGGCCATCTTGCACTGTCTTTGGGGAAAGACCGACGGGATATGAAATTTCCAGCTGGGCGGCGCGATCGGCCGGGCCGATACCCATTGGGTCTTGGAAAAAAAACTGGAAATTATCCTGGCGAAGTGCCCAAAGATGTGAAGCTGCGGGTACCGCCAGACAAGTGAAAAGAATCAGGGCGGGAGGAGTGATGGGGTGTGCCGACATGGGGCGTGTTCGCCATGTGGACCCTGCCATTCGGGCCTTGAACGGAGCTCCCTATGGGGCCACGGCGCGTCTGAGGTGTGAGCCAGATCAAACGCCATCCGGACCTTGCGGCCGGGTTTCTCGGGGGTGTGATAAGTCGGATGCGGGTGCACCATGCGGACCCTACCGCTGGGGCCTTCGGTGGAGCTCGCTATGTCGCCACAAAACGTGTGAGGGGTCTGTGCTGAATCGGGTGCGGGTACGCCATGCGGACAGGCGCCTTCGGTTGGGGCCACGAAGCGTGTGAGGGGGATGCCGAATCGGATGCGGGTGCGCCATGCGGACCCTGCCGCTGGGGCCTTCGGTGGAGCTCCCTACGGGGCCACTGCACGAATGAGGGGTGTGCCGGATCGAGTGCGGGTATGCCATGCGCACCGTGTCGTTGGGGCCTTTGGTGAAGCTCCTTATGGGGCCACGGCACGTTTGAGGGTGTGCCGAATCGGATGCGGATGCGCCATGCGGACCCTGCCTCTGGGGCCTTCGGTGGAGCTCCCGTGCGGGGCCGCGAAACGTGTGAGGGGTCTGCCGAATCGGGTGCGGTCGCGAATGATGGTGATGAGATGATGGCATATGCAGGGCAGAAGCAGGACTGGGATGCTGGAGGAAGGGGAGGAAGGAACGGAAGGAACGTGGGGCGCTGTTTATTCAAAGCTCTGCCCCAACACCACAGCCGATCCGGAATCAACTTAGAAGTGTAGCGCGCCATGCACCCCTGTGGCAAGCCACAGGGGACGACGGATCCAGAGGCTTTCGGCCCATGCCACCGCCGCGCCTGGATTGTATGCCAAAAGCGTTTTGGATGCCTGTTGGGGCTTAATCGGGTACCTCTTGGCGGCCTCTTGGATGCCTCTTGATGGGGGCGCTTAGGGGTCTCTCGGAGGCTGCTGGGGGGTCTGTTGGAGGCCTCTTGGGCGCTTCCTGGTGCCTCTTGGGGGAGAGTTGGAGTCTTTGGGCAATATTTGGGAAAAAGGCTCCCAACGCCCCTCCGCTTTTTTCCTCCTGGGGCGCTTTTGGAAGCTGCTTGGGCCGTCTTATGGATCTCCTTTGCCGTCTTGGGACTCTCTTGAGCTTTCTTGTCTTGGGGCCCTCTTCTGGGCACATTTGGACGATATTGGGATGGTATTGGGGGCCTCGTGGGCCGTCTTGGAGTGTTTGACGCCAGGAAAAGTGAGAATACTACGATCCAATGGCCTTAGGAGCACTTGGCCTATTGGAGCCATGACGGGTCCTCTTGAGGCCCTCTTGCTGCGTCTCGGGGGCCTCTTGGACCGTTTGAGGACCGTTTGGGGCCTTCTCCAGGCTCTCTTGAACTCTTGTACCGTCCTGGGGCTCTCTCGGGCCCTGGGAGTCACGCAGGAAACCTATTTCAGACATTCTGGCAGTTCGGGCCTGCGTCTTTGGAAAGTATGGTGCGCGTCGAAATGGACCTGAGAACGCTCCACTCAGCGTCTACGGCACTGTGACGGATTAGGGAAGTTTCGTTTTCATGTCCAAGTTAATACTCCCCTCCGCCCGAACAGGAACATGCCTACACGGGGCCCCTTTGAAGGCGTCTTGGATGACTCTTGGGTCCCGCTTGGAGCCATTTGGGGGGCCTTTGGGGCCATGCTGGAAGCCATGCGCTTAGCACATTTATCTGGAGACTGGACAACACTTTCTGGAGGATTGATTGATGTCCTCTTTGTATGGTCCTCCGACCCTTCGCACTTTCCCAGGGTGGGTCTAGACCTTCTTCCCCTGCTGGGCATAAGTGGAATGAGGAGCTGTTTTGAAATAGATGGCAAGCTCAACCCCCTACGCCCAGAGGGCCAAAGCGATTCATAAGAGATTATGGCTGCTGGTCTTGATAGGGGCAGCTCGCGAGCGTTGCTGGGTTGGGCGCCAGGCGGCAGAGCTGCTGGCTACGGCGCGACGGCGAGCCCTCAGCGCCGGTGCCCAGAGCCGCGAGTGGGGCGAGGCCAGGCGGCAGAAGCAGAAGGCCCTAACGCACCCTTCTCTTCTGAAGGATCGGAGCTAGAGCTTGAGCACGCTGATTCAGGAGCCTGCCATTTTCCCAGCTTGAGTTATCAGGCGGAGGTCAGGTACGCGGCTGTTCATATCCTCCCCAGCGCACTGCATGCTCCCTCCCTAGCAGTAGTGCCCGAAAGCCGCTCACAGCCATGCCTTGGCGCTCAAAGGCAGGTCATGGCCGTCACAAGTACTCGCGGTGCTGGCAGGGCCGGGCATGCGCATGCTCGTGTGCGTACGCGCTTTTGCGGTGCTACCACTCCACAGCCGTGGTTACCGTCCGTCATTATATGCCCCCCCCCCTCCAGATAATAACACGCGTTGTCTGCTACCTTTCCGACTACAAACAAATGGCTCTGATCATAGCCTGCTTGTCCAAAGGATTACGTATTGAAAAGACACAGGTGCAACAGAGGCAACACATGAAATATAGGCTCGAACACATTTCCCGATCTGCGCTTGAAGCCGTAAATCCGGCTTCGCTCGGAGTGGGCTGCAGGGTTGCTCTTGCCTTGGCCGTCGAGTCGACCATGCTCCGCCATTCTTCTGAAATGTCCCACACCTTCCCGATTCCACGTGAGCAAACCATATTTAAAAACATCGAGGAGGGCCTCCCATTGGGATCCTGAGTGCTACACATTTCGATGTGGCTTTTATTTCCCGTATCAACGGTGGGGTTCGTGTTTTCTCAGCATACCCCCCGCGCAGGATCTCTCCCCCCTCTCATCCTCATCATCACCATCATCATCATCACACATTCTCACACACACACACTCCACACACATTCATCCCCCCTTTTATCCGCCTCACTCATTCTCTTCATCGGCATCACTCACACACTCACGCACACCCACGGTGACTCACTCACACACGCACACCCACCATCATGCACACCATCACCATCACTCGATCACTCACCCACTCACTCACTCATCATCATTATCCATTCATTCACCATCATCATCACTCATTCATCACTTCGTCACCACTCACTCCCCAGCTTGAATATGGAGGAAATATCAAGTGGGAACTTCGTCTGTGAGTGAGTTGTGAGGAAGTCTCAAGCGGGAGCCCCCTCCCTATGGGTCCCGCGTTTCATGTTGGTAACCCGAGCGGGTAATCCTCAACCTTGTAACTGTCGTCACTTTTGGGTTCTTGAGGTTTCAATATTGAGGAAGTACGTTGGTAATACGAGCGTGGTCATCGCGGCGCGCGGCGTCTGGGCGTGCCCATCGTTTTCTTGCAGGCCGTGGGCGAGTGCAGCACGATTCAAAGCGACCCAGGCGCGGGCCGGCGCCTCTTGAACGTCTCGAACATGCACAGGACGGGGGACATCCACGGCGTTTTACCGGCGCGCAGCGGCATGTTGGTTTGGTTCACGGCCGCACAGGAGGAATTGGGGACGAAGTTGGAGTTCGTGCAGGAGCAACGGGCCACCATCGTGTCCTTCGAGTCTCACCCAGGCGACGAGCGGGAGCACGAGTACGAGGAGTGCGCGCCGGGCCAGCTCTTTCGCCCCCGCTACTACCGAAGGGAATCTGGCTGCGAGCCCACGGCTTCAATTGAAGAGCCCCCGATCCACAAGGAGGTCGCCGAGTTGCTGCTGCAGAGCGCCAGAGTCGCTGACGACGGCGGCGAGGCCGAGGTGCGGGCGAGGAGCTGGCTGATGTTCAGTTCGGGCCCAGCGAGCAGGAGCTCCCGCGGCAGAGCTCAGGGACGCGCGTCGCGCGCCGCTCGGGGTTCACCCTGACGCACGCGCCCCACATGACCTCCACGTTGTCGCTGGGCCAGACTCTGCGCAAGGGCGTCGCCATTGATTGCGCCAGGGATCAGGATGCTGGACGCACGGGCATGGCACCCGAGCAGCGGTGGCTGCACCTCTACGTCATGTTCCCCCGCGCCACGCGCGTGCGGAACATGTTGATCCGGCGGCCGCCCCCGCGAGACATCCTGGAGCGCGGGCCGCCGGCGCCCCTGCGGAAGGCACTCCGGAAGTCCGACGAGAAAGCGAAGACTTCCAGGGATGAGGCCGAGCAGCTCGCCGCGGAGCTTGGCCTCGTGCTTTCTCCCGCCTGAGCGCCGCGGCGCGCAGCTAGAGGCCCGCGCCCTTGCTACAACGGTCTAGCCCGACGGGTTTGCCCCGACGGCCTGCCCCGGCGGCCCGCGGGGCGGCCCCGGCCTGCAAGCGGCCCGTCGAGCGCGCGCCCGCGCCCACGGAGGAAAGGATAAACGCGGACAGAGCAGGAAGTTGCAGGCCCATGCTCGCCGCGAGGAGCTGGCCACGGTCGACAACCGGGCCTTCTGCCCGCCCGCGGGCCGCCCCGTCCTGGGCGACTCCGTAGCCATTTTGGCTCAAGACTGATGCTTTTGCGGGCTGAGCCCGCATTGGCCAAACTGGATACCGCTAATCCGCGGCAGTCTTCATCCTTCACGGAGGTCCGTCCCTTCCTCAGTTCGCCCTGGGGATAGGGGTTCGCTGGCCTCCATTCCTGTTCTGCCATGGCGTGGCGTCGGAGTGCTCCGTGGCGCGTCGTTGGTGGCGAAGGGAAAGGCTCTTGGGCATGGCAGCCTGAGAGTGCTGGCGGTCCTCAGTCGGGGCCCCGTGGCAAGAATAATGTCAAGTCTAAGGACAATTCGTACAAGGTCTGTTCTCTCTGCATGCACTGGGAGTCTGCAGTCTGTGCGGTGGTCAATACCTTGATGGTGCTCGTCCTGGTCATGGCGACCAGGCACATCGCGGCGGTCCTGGTGGAGTCGGACTCGGTGCTGCTGCTGCCCCTGGCGCTGCTGCTGTCCCGATGCCGCCCCACCTCGTGCAGGAGTTGGAGCGCTGGGCTGTTCACTACCCTGCCCTTGCAGGGGTGGCTCGCGACGCCGCCCCTCCCGCGCCTCCCGAGATCCGTCTGTTCACGGCTGGTGAGCTGGATCAGATGGCCGCGATCGAGCAGACGCGGCTTGCTCGCGAAGTGGAGGCCGCTTCCAAGAACGAGAGGTTGGCTGCCCAGGAGGCGCAGCGGAGGTTGGGCCGATTCAATCGTGCGAAGGCTACGATGGAGGAGATGCAGAATAATCATCTCGTGGCGGAGCAGAACCTCGAGGTGGCTCGCCGAGAGACACGGGGGGCCGACTCCAAGAAGTTGGCTTTCAGCGTCGAGGAGTTCAAGCAGAGCAAGATTGAGGAGCAGCGGCGCGAGGCTGCGCGCCAGGCTCAGGCGGCCGCGGACGCAGGCCGCCTCGACGCTGCAGGCGGGGCTCGCGCCCCCCCGCCTGGCGGCGGCGGCGGCCCCCAGCCAGCCGTCGGCCCCGGCGCTGCAGGCGGGGTTCGCGCCCCCCCGCCTGGCGCGGCTGAGGCTGGCGGCGCGGCCGCTGCTGATGCTGATGTCGTTATGGAAGATGGTGCAAGCAATATCCCTTGGTTGCGTGGCCGTCTCGTCGACTTCGTGCATGTTGAGTCCCACCTGCATGAGTTCGACGATCCCATGCTCGAGCTACTTGTCCGCTACTCTGGCATCCAGCTGGACAAGTGGCAACAGTATCGACTCCACCTTCAGCGTATGCGAGACGCACAGCCCGATGATGTGTCTGAGTTGGGCAGTGAAGTTGGAGACGAACTCGATCCAGTTGAACGCGACCAGTTCCGTGAGCTCAAGAAGAGAGCTGGCGAGGCTGGCTTGGACGCGGCCGCAGCCAAGGAGTACACCGACCTGCTGCAGAAGAGGCTCATGGCTAAGTCGGTCAAGCGTGCGCGTGCTTCCCAGGCCGCCACCTGCGACATGTACCGCACTTTCTGCGCCGTCGCGGCCACCCAGATGGACAAACAAGGAGGTGGTGGAGGCGCTGCTGCTGCGGGCGCGGCTGCTGTTTCTGAGACCGCCCAGGCTTCTGTGCCGCCGCATGTTTAGCAGTGCTCCTCCGCCCCATGGGCGGCTGCCGCCCGACAAAGGAGAGGTCAAGCGTTTGATCTCTCCTGCTGTTGCTAAGCATGTGCATTTTAAGTTTGCGAATATAACTCAGTGGTCGAAGCTTACTCAGGACTTTCTGGCAGCTAAGGTTTCTGAGGTTGATGGAATATTCATGGCTGAACACCATGTCAGAGGGCCTGAATGTTTTCGGGCCAAGAAGGATTGCCGCCACATGAAGTGGTCACCTTACTTTGAGGATGCGCTTGGCTCGCCTGGAGGGGGAACTCACGGAGGGGTCGCTGCTGTCGTCCAGCCACGTCTTTGCTTTCGCAAGTTTCTTGTCCAAGCGCGAAGGGCTAAGCAAGTGGGTGCAGGAGAAGGTTGGTTCTTTCTCGAATTGCGTCTGAAGGCGTGTACGGTAGCTGTTGGAGTCATCTACCTTGTGCCATCCATTGGAGTTGCTGGAGTGAACTCTTGTCGTCTGCGTGCGGTTGCTGAATTTGTTAGGGGTCTGGCTATCCCATGGTTCCTGATGGGCGATTTTAACATATCGGCTTATTTCCTGGAGGATGCTGGAGTCTTGGAACTGATGTCCGCTCGAACCCTGGCCCCTGGCAATGTTGAGTTTACCTGTTCTTTTGGGGAAACGATGATTGATTACGTCGTGTGTTCTCACCTGTTGTTCCCTTACCTTAAAGTGTCTGCCGACCTCCTGTCCCCATTCAAGACGCACGCGTGCCTGGGCGTGATCTTGGACCTCGAAGCCATGGTGGAGCCCCAGTGTATTCGCGTGAAGCCCCTGGAGGTTCCTGAGGCCCTGGGCCCCGAGAATCACTGGCTCACCTATATGTCGGCGGCTCAAAGCCTTGGGGACCCTGGCAAAAGCATCCTGGAGGCCCCCTTGGTCATGCCTGAGGACCTTTATGAGGCTATGTCTGAGCACTCCAAGGAGTACTTGTCTAGGAGTCTTGGGATGCAGTATCTTATTTGGTCTCGTGCTATGGAGTTGCGAGCTCTTTCACGCGCGTGCGCTTTTGTTTCTGATCCCGACAGATATCTCGGTCGTGGT